GAAACAGACAGACAGAAACTAAATAAATCATCCGCAGAGTGTGAAGCTGATCTTTGACTGGTGACGTAGGGTGTGCTGGGAGTCATTGTTGCAACCTATGACTGAGGTGACAGCTGATTGACAGCCAAGTGTAGACAGACAGGCACATGAGATAGATGAGCCTCTCAACCGACCATTAATCAGAATGGCCTATATGGGTGCATGACAACTCCTTTTTCCACCATTCACAGAGACTAAAAGAGCAGAGATCCTTGAGGAAAATTAAGAGAGGTTGAAGATCTCACCTCACTACCCTCCTTCATTTCTCTTTTTCTCTTTTTATACCCCCCTCCCCAATTAGTGTACCTTCTTTCTCTAGCCGCTTCTTTCTGACCCTCTATTCATCTTTTTTTCTCTCTTCTACCCCATTCGCTCCCTTCCCCTTTTTCTTCAAACAGTATCTTCCCAGTGTAAAGGGATCCTGCCCTGGGAGACAGTCGGACCACTTAGTGTTGACTTCTGACCAGGCTTTCATAATGATGCCAAGCAGCCAACAAGGACTTCTCAATGTGACGTGATGGCAGGCTGCCCACTGTACACCAGAGCTAGAACAAAATGGGACTGTCAGTGCTGCCCTTGATGCACGCATATACAAACACAAGAAGAGGTTCACACATGGATCAGGAAGAGCTGTATCTTTCCTTGTAGCACAGGAATAAAAGCTTACTGTTAACCCAACCCATCTGTGGCAATAGATGGTAATAAAAGCTAGATGTAAAATGTTGCAAATAAAGCATTAAAAATGGTCAAACAGTTGTTTAGCTGTTCTCTATAATAATCCTAAAGATTTGTCCTTCATAATCCACTTTGCAAGTCATTGGTGCGTACCTAGCACAACTTCTCCCCCGTCTAGCTCATGATAAAGTGCTTTATCACTGCCTGTGACACAGCTACGTTTATGGAAACTACTTGGCTGTGTAGCCTCCATTTATCCAGAGTCTACTGCACAGATCTTAGTCCAATGTAAACAAACTTGGGACCTTTTTTACAATGAGAAGCACACAAGTGTGACATTTAAGTAGTTGAAGGGAGCTTATCTATTAAAACAAATATGATAAACTGGATTTTATTAATCACTGTGCACCAGTCTGTCACACACACACACACACACACACACAGAGAGAGGCTGTATACACAAACCCAGTGACCCTGCTGAGTTGCCATAACAACAGCTCCATGTCAACAAAACATGTCCGTCGGCATGTGACGTTTATATTCAACATAGTGAAAGACGGACAGAGGGGTCCAACTGAAAGCAGCATGGGCTGCCACTGAAGAAACTAATTTAGCATAAAGGATGTTTAATCCAAACATGTACAAAAACAACCACAGCAAAACAATGACACTCTACTTTTCCTGGAATGTTTGGTGTCAAAACATGTCCAGTCCTGATGAGCTGATTGATATTCATGAGCTGCCATGGAGTTTTATTTAGGGAAAAGTCTAAAACTGAGCGCTCAGCTCTGAGAACTGTGCGGGGCATTCTTCAGAGGGATCCATCTCTTTCAGCACAATTACGAGGGTGGTCTGGGACAATATTCATGGATGTACGACAACATATTTGATGCTATTTTGTGCTAAACAAAATGTGGATCATGGACAGCCACACAACTATGTGAGGATGAATATAAGAAGTGTCATAAGCCATATTCAGCTTGACTTTACTTACACATCAACAGGTACTCTCAACAGCAGGGGTAACACTGCTCCCTCATCATGCAGGTCCAGCAGTCGGGGCTCCAGCAGCTCAATGATGGTCAGAGCCGTGCGGAACACAGCTGATAGGCCTGAGGAGGAACAGTGGGATTTCCAAACATGATTGCTGTATGCTTTGTTAATACAAAGTAGGTGTAAAGTAGATAAGATAGAAAAGATGAAAAACAATGAATGTTGCAAGTTATCACTTATAACATAATGATCATTCCCCTGACACTGGACCAAGTAAGGGATAATCACAGGGAGGCCGGGCAATGAACAGTTCGTCTCGGGCGGTAAGCCGTCCACCAGCCGGGCATATCAAACTGTTTATTGCCCGGCCTTGAGGTGATTATCCCGTTTATTCTACTTCTTACTTGCCAACATAATTAAAAAATTAAATACTTTTAATATTTCGTATTGCATTGCTTATTAAAATGCTATACTCTGTGTGGAGCATCTCCCTCAAAAAAGTAGTCCCCTTTAGAACGACGGTGAATAACGTTAGGCGTCAGCTGTAAGCTAATTCGTTTCTATAGCGCAACCACACAAGGCTGCCATTCTTGATTCACTAACGTTAGTTAGAAACGTAGTTGCGCATGTATCTCGCTTGGCGAAACAATGTAGTCGGACTGAGGGAGCCCCTCCGATAGATTTTCCGACACATTTTTTAGAAACTTTTTTTAAACAAGGTGTTTATTTTTACAATGCACTCTGGGTTTGAATGTATGTTGATTGAAAAAAAATACAAGCGGCATATTGATCTACTTAGATGACGCTGTGCTCAGTCAGCGGGCAATATGCCGGGTTAATGCCCTCCTCCCAGCCAATCAGAATCAAGCATTCTTAAACGAAGTAGAATAAATACAATGATGCCCACATTCATAAATAATAATAATAATAATAATAAGAATAATAATAATAATAATAATATAAAAAGATAACTATTGTCTTGGACACTGAAGACTATTTACTAGAAATATTTTATTGCCCCCTCCACATTAAGTGAATGTGAGTAAATGATAAATCTACATCATTTCAGTGTGTTTCATCTGCTTGCTTATACATTTGTGCATGCATAAACATGTGTACACACCGTGCAGAATGATGAGATCCCAGACAGCCAGGACAGAGTCCCAGCAGGGTAGGGATGAGAAGAGAGTGAGGAACCATGGCATCACAAAGTAGACTGATAAGACTCCTACTGACTCCTGCAGGGAGGTTGGGAAAATAGGGAGGGTTGATTTGGCATAACCAAACATTGTATTCAAGACTTGCTTCACTGCCAATTTCTGTCAGCTATGCTCCATTACTGATCTCCATCCACGATGTATGCACTTTCTTGAATGGAATTTCTTAAATAGTGTCACACACTTATTAACAACCATTAGCTTCCCAACAATGCATTTCTCATTTTTAACTAATTCTGGTGTTTAAAGTCCACTGCTTGTAACACTGGACATACGTCTTACAGAATAAGATCCAAATATTATGTATGCATGTATTCATGTTGATGCCTGGCATTCAAAATGCATTAAGTCTCTGTTTTCTCAGATTGGGTACAACACAAGTAAAAAAAATCTGCTTACAGCTCGCTTGCCTTAACTCTGCTGAACAGCTCTATTACAAAGGAAATGCTGACCACTGATCTCTAATAGGCTTTTTCTGTAAAGGGGTAAAACTATTGTGCCTACAATAAACTCCTGTGGTGTGTGTGTATGTATATGTGTGTGTTGGCTCCAAAAGGGCAGCTTTACTCCCAGACCTGCTGAGTCGACGTGAAGTATAACAATCCCTTCAAAGACACTTGAGCAGCACAAACGGTAGCAGTGAATGCATCGGTGTGCAAACACACTTGGACAGAAGACTTTAAACAGAGGAGAACTAAGTTGCAACAGCAACATGGCTGAGAATCGGTTCTGATTGAGTATAGCAGTGCCTTCTATCTACAGCCATGTTAGCGGCTCGGTGAGGCTCTGCTTGGACATAGTGGTCCTTTGACCTAAATGCAGACATACACATGCCAACATGCTGACAATGATAATGTTAGCACACTGATGTTTAGCAGGTACAGTGTTTACCATGGTAGCATGCTAGCATTTGGTAATTAGCATAGACACAAAATACAGCCAAGGCTGATGGGAATGTCATTAGTTTTGTAGGCATTTGGTCTTAAACACAGTACTGGACACATTTGAACTTTAATCTGATGATGGTGCTAAATCGAAAAAAAGAAATGAGTATCTGCACCATACTTTATCCAATAGATGGAAAACCACAAACCTCATGACACTAGAGGAAAAGTCAGGGACTCACCAAAGTCAGTAGAATTAATCCTATGTCAACCATGAATACCTATAATAATAATAATAATAATAATAATAATAATCTGTATCTTCCAGTTTCAATGTGTAATGGCAATATAACACAGCTTATGTATACACAGAGTGTTCTCCTACATTTAGACTAATTATAGTTTTTCACATTTGCAATCTTTCGTAAATAAACAAGTCCTCAATTTTGGCTTATGCCATATTACTTCTGCCCATGGTTGTATGCATTTAGCTCTTTCATGGTAATTTGAACTCCACTTCCACATTTGCCTATGGCAAACAAATCTGATAAAGTGATAACATCTTTTTGTATAATATGTCACTCCATTTCTGTAGCTGCAAAGAGTGGGCTGCATGTCTGCTGTGAGGTTCACTAAATGAAAATAGTTTTAGAACAGTTGGAAAGGAGAAAGAAAATGGCATAGTGGTAGGCATGCGTGCAAACAGTAATACTGCAGAACATGACAAGCCTAGAGCCTAATGCATGAATGACAGAAGAGGCCCTGTTGCTGATGGATTCATTACAGTGGCCTCTACCTCACAGATGAACTACTCATCACTTGGACATATCTGGCCTGAAACACAAATGCACACACACACACACACACACACACATACACACAGACAATCTTTCTTGTCATTCTGATTTTCAGAAGCGTTTTCCCTTTGAGCATCTCCAGAAATTCCATACTTTCCTACCATTTTTAATGTCGCTCATGATCAGCACCATGTTGAAATTCATGCCTGCATGTCACTTAGTCAGCGTGTCATTTTACAGAGAATTGAAGTGTATCATCAGGTTTCTCCTTTAATGTACAAACCTACTGAGTGAAGATCTGATTGGAAATGAAGCACTCACCATGTGTTGAGAGAGCTGTGGCTTCCTGTGTTTCAGGAACTGGTCAAACACCTTCACCTGATGCTGGACTCTGATTAGATCAAAAATAACAGCATTGCTTAGTTTAGTGTAGCTGTGCCAGATTACCAATTCCAGGAAAACAGATACAGAATTTGGGAATTACACAGACAGTTTGTTTCAGTGACCAATTTGAGTTGAACCAATTTTTAGATGCAATTGCAGAAATTCAGTATTTCTGGATTTTTAACATGAATATACGGTATACGCAAATTATAGTGCAAGAGTTTTCTGATCCCCATGCAAAAGTTATGTTGCCACATGTTGCATTGCTCCAAATTAGGATATGTCTGCAGTTTATATTACAAAACACCATAAAAGATTAAATAACAAAACGTATCTTGCCCCGATTTACCTTAATTGTGTACAAATCACTGAATGTTTAATAAAGTCAATTTAAAAGGACATTATATTCAGTACTTTGTGGTACTTCAAAAAATGTCTGTACAATCAGTTTAGAATATTTACAGTACATTTTATTTAGATGTATCATTCAAATGTATGTTTTCATTTATTATATACTTTAAGCCCATTCTTACTTGTTGAGGCTGAGGTCAAAAAGTTCGGTCAGATATTTGGGTTTACCCAACAAGGCAGTCAAAGCCCAAAACGCCTCCTCCTCTCCTAACTGCATCAGCAGCACCGCAGCTATGTAGGACATCCCTGTGACACACACACACACACACACAGAAATACATAAATACTGCATTTCCTAAAGTATGGGGTATGGATGTTTGATACACTACAGTAAAAACATTGAAGATATAGGACTGAACATGTTTTATCAAACATCTGAGAAATCTAAACTAGTTTAGTGGAGCAGCAGCAGTGTACACAGCTAAGCAGGATGGAAGAGCATAACCTTAATATGATTTGTATAGCAACCTATGCATATCTGTCCTCATCTTAACTAATGCATGTTTCCCATGGAAGCAGCATACAGAGAAGGACACACTATAATGCAGAGAAGTATCACTGGGAAGTGGAAACTGTAAACCATAGATGGGATATTAGTCATGAAGAGAAGGAAGTTTCATTTGACATTTCCACCTACTGGTGCGCCAAACTGTCACAAAAAATGCAAAAAAACGAAATACATATATGTAATCTCTTAGCAAATATGTCTGGTATCCAACGAATGACTTTCATCCAGATTCTTTATCCTCTGAAATCAAACTTCCTTTATGAATAGGACAACTGTTTACAATAAACAGCTCAGAGTATGTTTCTGTTTCTTAAGCTAATATCTTAAAAGGAAAATGGGGATAAACACAAAAGACTTGCTTTTTATCTATAGTTCCGTAAAAACAAAAGTCATAAATGCTTGTGCTGATAACATTTTCACAATCTGATTTCCACTTGGTTTTTTCATCCAAATTCCACCTTTATTAATAAATCTGATTTAAAAAAATCTAAATCATCATAAATAAATTAATAATGTGAAAAGGATTTCACTGACATTTCCTGAGCAAAAAAGAGCATGATGCTGTTACTCCTTATTTTAATAGTCCTCTGCTTCCATCAAGTGGTCACATTATGTACTGCATTATGTACTATTTGCACCAAGTTACTGAAACAGTGTGTGAAATTACACATGATGATGTGGGAACACAATGTTAAGCTCAAATGATAATAAATGTCCTCCCCCTGGGGATTTAAAACAGCGCCAACAACCTGATGATAATCACTACAATATCTTTTGCTGGGAAGCAAAGAAAGACAAAAAAAGAGGGAGCACTTCATACCGTTTTCAAAGTATTCTTACAGTCCCACAGGTGTTATATAAATGAGTACAATCAGTCCATTACCTTGACTGTATCCAACCTGCGGGCTGTATTTGGCATAGGCGATGAGGACCCTGAAGAGTTTCGCCTGACCCTCGATGGCTTCTGGGCTTTCCCCCATCAGAGAGCGGTGGGTCGGGAAGGAACGCTCTATGGAACAGGTCAGATTAATTATACCTGGTGTTCCCCGGGTCTCTTTTTATTTACATCAATTTCTAATGCTGTTCTCTGGTAATAACAAAACCTCAATCGTAACCCTATACATGGTGCAGTACAGAAGAGAGGTACATTCATTGTGCAATGCTCTACAAGAAGCAATACTAAAAGTATAATTCAACACGTTTTTACAACATTTTGAGGACTAAATAATCTGTTTTAAATTCAGTCCTCAACATGAGTCAAAATATGTAGCCATGTTCTCAACTGAAAACATTCAACATGCACACACTGAGCCTAGAGCTTAATTCCACTGTTTGAGCTTACGGAGGTCCAGGGCAATCTGTCTGAAGAGTGTGATGTCATCTACAGAGTATCGGGGCTCGGGGCAGTTGGAGGACTGCTGATGGTTCAAATCCAGGTCGTTTTGGGTGTCGCTCAGTGTGGCAATTGCCGACAGGATGCCGTACTCACTGACTCCCAAGTCCACCAAGGGCCCTCGCACCTCTGACAAGCACTTCTGTTGGAGAAAGCCCGACACAATGGAAATCAATCAATAACACTTCTGCTGAATGAACGGCAGAGTAAGAGGCAGGGTTCATCACTCATAAGCTGCTTTGGTTAGGCAGCGACTAAATATACAGCCAACCTGGATTAGTTCAACTACAATGAAATCACAGTAACGAGTAGCGGTGGGGCAAATGGAGCTTTCTGAAGCGCTGAGCCAAAATGGCGACATCTCCTTGCCAATTCCTGGTGTTGCACTTACAGGAAGGCTCAAGGCAAGACAAGTACAAATGGTCTCACTGTTGTCTTTGATATTGTTCAATAAAAGTTATATTATATCAAGTGAAACAGAGTCTACAGCTCTGCTTTTAACCCTCTCTGATACAAGAGTGACATATTGAGGCCTCCCTTGAGGTGGTCATGTTGAAACGAGGCATTGAAGCATCCTACCATTGTACTCCTGCTTTGAAAGGTCAATCCTGTGTCGAGTGTCTTGTTTACTTCGATTACACACTTGTCAGTTTAACTAACTAACTACCATTTTCAATTTACTAAATCTGCACATTCATTTTTCTATTAATCAATGAATCATTTTGTCTATAAAATGTCAGAAAATAATGAAAATGTCCATTACAATACTGACATATTTGTGTTGGCTCATCTGTCCAGTGACTAACTGATTCATTGCCTAATTGTATATTGTATTGCATTATTGGTCAAGTCACCAGTTCTTATACAAAAGGACCAGGGCTGCAACCAACACGTTTGGTTTTCATTTAATCTGCTGACTATTCTTTTGACTAATTCAATTGAATTGTCAAAAGCAGAACACAAGCTGATGTTTTCAAATGTCTTGTTTTGTCTGATCAACAGTCTAAAACCCAAAAGAAATATCCAGCTGACAAAAATGCAACAAACAAATGCAGCAAATCCTCACATCTGAGAAGCTGAAACAAAGGAATGTTTGTCATTCATTATTTGCTATTTTTGCTAAAACAATGGCTGGAAAGACTCAAGGTGATAAATCAATGATAAATTCAGCTCTGAATAGAACAGTAGAATGATTTCCAACTTGCAGTCGCAGAGTTGTAGCTGATGTTATATTGACATTGACATGTTAAAGAATTCTTTTGAAAATGATGAAAAGATTGCTGTTAAAAAAACAATACAGTTTTCTGTGTGTGTTTTTTTTTTTTTTCAATAATTTAATCCTGGAAATCACTTCCTTAATAAAACCAAGTGAGTAAAAGTATAACAGTATAAAAAGTTAGGTAGAAGAAATCCAAAAACATATCTGGTAGTGTAGTAGGGATGCACGATATTGATTCGACACAATAACCGATAATTACCTGCTTCTCGTGGCCAATACTGCATTTTTGAATTTTAAAAATTAGTTCATAACCTGTAGTTTTTACACACTTACAAGAGAGGTAACGCCAGAGTGAGCAAAGACGGATGGTTTAATATTCCATGGCTCTGATATGACCAAATCTAACGGATATCACAACAAACAACAGGTCTGACTCTTTATATGTTCACAAAGAAACTTCAACCATACTTTGGCTTCCATAAAACATAAAGTCTATCAATTGTTCTTGCATAAGAATTCCAAATAAATGATTATTGTTATGTCAACCAATAACGTATCCCTATCTTTTGGCACTGTTGAGAAAACTCTGTTCCCACTTCCAAACTCACAGTGTAATTTCGCAAGGGAGTACGTCTCACGTCTCGTTGTGCTTTACCTGGTAGTTAAAGTCACTGGTTTCTCTCAGGCTGTCAAGGGTGAGAAGACACTTCCACACTCTACCTCGCAGGCTTGGAGGAATACCCATCCTGATAAATCGCTCAATCTGAAAACAAATTAAGAGTGTGAGGGAGCAGCAAGATGTGCGTTTACAACTATTGCATGGTTCAAAACACGAGGGTAGATTATTAACAACGCTGGAGACACGTCTCACCTGGCTCTTGCAGATAAAGCTGGCTCCATTCCAGTAGCTGAGCAGCTCACACAGCTCTTTCACCCTCACCGAGCTCAGCTGGGGGTAGCTGACAGACAACACAACGACGTGGATTCAGACTCATTCAACAGTTTTATTCAAATCAGGCTCATATTCACACTTTCTGTAAAGGCAAACAGTGTGTGTGTGTGTGTGTGTGTGTGTGTGTGTGTGGGCTCTGCTCTACAGCTTTAGGGTTAACAGTATACACAAGCTAACTACAGTTAGACATGCTGGAGCGACTTATCCACCTAAAAGAATGAATTTGTGAAGCAATATCAGTGGACACATTTCTATTAACGGTACTAATACCTAAATTGTGTCTCAAAGGTTTGTCAAATCTGACAAGTAACGTTAAATAAGCACCATTAAGCATAATTTGTTTATTTTAATTGCATTTTTTGGTCACCAAATGGTTGGTTCACTTTTATACTTAACAAGACACCACTTCAACCGACACAGCAGTCTAATATAACGTTACGTTAAGTTTAACATAAGTTAGGCATAACAGCGCTTTGAATATCACTGACACCGTTTTAACGACGTTTTTGTAATTACTTAACGGTAACAAGAGTGAAAAGAATAAAATGAAACACAATAATGTATGAGGAATAAAAAAAAGTTAGCGTTAATTTAACTTTCCTCGGGAACTTTAAATGCCCAGAGTCACGGCATGTCGAGTTATTAACGTTAGCTGACGTTAGTTTTCAGGAGTTACCCAGTCCCGCACCTGTAATCATGACATCGGTGATGAAGTTTTTGGTCCTTTCGTTTAGTAAGAGCAAAGCCGAATTCATCGAAACGCAGGTTCTCACTGCGTCTTCTAATCGTTGAGCTTCTCCTGCTGGCGTTACTACCGCTTCTCCTCCTCATAGTTGTAAAAGGCAGCCGGTTGAGCAGTTTCAAAAACACCTCAGCAGTCAACAATGCCCCGTGAGCTGAGCCGTTGCTGTCAAACTCAACGGTCAGCCTTGAGCCGCCCCTTTCTTACGTCACCACCAACTGAAAATGGGCGGGATGAATCAGAGCCCGTTAAACAAAGAGGAGCCAGCTGCGGACAGCGCTGAGCGAAAAGCGAAACAAGATACATACATTACAACCTGGCACCAGCTCCATCATGGTCATCAAAACTGTTATTTAACTTAACTTAACTGTAAGTTAAATAACAAGAATATTAGGTGTGTGAGAGAGAGAGAGAGAGACTGGCATACAGATTTATCAACCACAATAACATGAAATTAAACTTTAGTTATTTCATTAATGTAATCTCAAAATATATATTATTATTATTTCAGGAAAGTTATACATGCCACAACCTGAAGGACAGTGAGTGACCTAACTTAGACACACACACGTACATTTAAAAAGGTTCTTACTTGACATGTGTTTTTTAACTACTCTTAAAGTTTCTTTTCTTACTAAATCTTATATAAATATACTTTACACTTAATTTCACAATCTAAATGTATGTTTCCCATGCCTTGAATTGAATTAAGTGCCCCTACCTCTCTGATAATGTGTGATCCTATAGACCAGGGGTCACCAACACGGTGTCTGCGGGCACCAGGTAGCCCCCAAGGACCACATGAGTAGCCCTCAGGCCTGTTTCTAAAAATGAAAATTGGAATATTAATATTTTCTGTTTCCCATCTTGTTAAGTCATTGTTGATAATTATTGTGAGAGTCATTAACGTGATCAGTGTCTTCACATAGATGAGTATCATAATCTTAATAATAAATATAACTAAAGGCAAACTGAGCAAATTTATTATTTCAGAAGAGTGTATCATGTATCAAACTGGTAGCCCTTCGTATGACTCAGTACCCATGAAGTAGCTCTCAGTTTCAAAAAGGTTGGTGACCCCTGCTATAGACAGTAGGACCCATGGCAACCAGGAACTCAAACATGGACTCAGTAAATAGTTCCATCTATTAAAACTGCATTAGCAAAATTGGGTGCTTTTGGTGTCCCCCGGATCACCAATACATTGGTATTTTAATAATGCACGAATTGAAACAGAAAAAGAAAACAATCATGTGAAGTCAGTAAGAACACACATGAATGATTGAATGAATGAATGAATGAATGAAGCACCTGTGAGATATGAAAAAAGTATTGGGTCTGTGGGTATCCCAGTCGGCAGGATGAGGATAAATCATAGTGTTGTTTTAAATGCAGATATTAGATCTCTCTATAACTACATGTGTCTCTGACTATGCTGTCATTATAAATGTAAATTATAAAACATGGGGGGAACCCTGTGAGTCACTCCCCCCTGACATCAGTACTACCGTGCTGCCTCATCATCACTTCACAGTAAACCCCTATTTGATCACAGTGTGCATTATCACTGATGACAAATTCCATAGTCATCATCACTACTTTCTGTATCATAATCAGTGTAAGGAGGAATAATCCTCTTATATGCAGGTAAAGATAAAGCTTCCAAACTACCTCACATCTCTTCGCTAATTTAAATCTCATAACACGCAATCCAAAAAACTACCTAGCCAGATTATATATTACCTATAGGCTCAGTCAGCCTAAATGTTTCTCTGTGTGTGCATATGTGGGTGTGGCTAGATAAGTGTACAGGTATATATGTGTGTATTATAGGTCATACACATGTGAGTCATCCAGGCAAAGCCACAATAACTTCATATACTATACACACATAGCAATATTGGTCTGGCCACACACACAGTCCACATAGACCCCAGATACAGCAATGAATTATAGTCCACATGTGTGCCAGATCTGGTAGCCACATATATATAGACATAGCTATATCTCAGCCAACTGTATGATCATAGATGGCCCTGTTCTAGCCCTGTGTTGGACCAGACAGGTTTCAGCACTGGCTCCAGATGTCAGCTAAAAACCTTAACTAAGACACTTCATTAATACAGACACTTGCCAAAATGAATAATGTGTCAAAGACAGTATTATAAACAAATACTGATTTTTCAAAGTTTCTTCCTCTCTTCTCTTATAGTTCCTTCTTTTCTCCCCTCTCCTCATCTCCTTCCTCCACTTCATTCCTCTCTTCCTCTCCTCCCCAGTCAGCACTGTATGTGTAGTAATGCGTAGACATAAAGTCAAATAAGCACATTTAGCCAGTAAACACTAGAACTGAACACTGAACACCTGTGTGGCCCAACACAGGACCAGAACAGGGCAGCTATGGTCATACAGTTGGCTAAGATATGGCTATGTCATGGACCAAATGTCTCTATTTGGCCCACATGTGGACCACAGTTCATTGCTGTATTTGGCCCGAGTGTATGGGCCAGACCAATTTTGCAATGTGAGACAGGTGTGTTAAAAATGTGATAACAGCTTATCTGATGAGTCAGCTTTTCCATAGTCTATCTTAGCCTAAAAACTGTAAATCACTCATTGAGGGCAAGTTAAAGAAAATACATGTGACACCTAAATGTGCTTTATTGTGGTGATACAAGGTATAAAGCCTACATAATGTATAAAATGCCTTTGGTTGGACTTTATGTCTGTAATAATTAAGAGCGATAAAGGCAGCATCCATTGCCAGCAAAGGATCACTATACTGAACAACAGCAGATTATAAACTACTCATCAATAACTTTCCTTAACTGATGCTATTATAAGTGATGTTTATTGCATAACTTTGGATTGATAACACAGGTTTTGAAAGGGCGAACGCTGTAGATCTTCATTCGGCAGTGACTTGGTCATGTCTGCGTGTCTCCACTTTGTATATTGTCTGGTAGCCGTCGTCCCAGGCATACAGCTGTTTGTCTCCAGGGTGATAGTGGATGCTGCTGTGGCTGGTGTAGCGCTTTGGGAAGAACATCACGGGACTCTCATCACTGCAGATGGATGGTACAGAAGAGAGAAAATGTTTAATCAAATTTAAAGATCGCTTCAGCTGTGAAAAGCTTAATGATGTGAATGCAAAAGGTCTGTGTGAATCTGGATAAAAAGTCTCTTCTGATTGAACATTTAACTGAAACCGTTTTCTGTTTTTCTGTGCATGCACATGTGGATGGTTAATTTAGAGGGTGCGTGTTTTTGTGAGTGTGTAGGCGGCTGTATCAGGTTATAATGTGTGTAGTTCAACCTGTGGATGGTGTCATGGATGTCATAGAGACACTGTATGGTGGAGCGTCCTCCATAGCGTGTGTTGTAGACAACATAGAGGGTCCCACATATTAGGAAGGCTCCTTCAGCATCACGGCTTCTACACTGTGTATCCCAGGTATATTCTACTGCCAAAGTTCCTGAGGTAGAAACAAAAAACAAAACAGTATAGGCCAGGTTACGTTTCTTACATATATGTATGTATAAACCTAGGGGTGGTATGCTCTACCTTTGTCCAGTTTAGTAATGACCAGGTTTCCTCCGTACTCAGGGTCAGCATGGATGACCCAGAGGCCGAGTTCATCCACAGCCATGTCTAAGTAGGTGTTGGGGTTCAGACTGTATACTGGTAGACGGCCTGCTCCTGGTAGCAGTGTACTGTCCACCACTGTTCCATTCAACAGGTCTACCTTTATGTGATGGAAACAGAGAGACAAATGACAAATGTAGGAACATTATACACGTTATAGTTTTGATATTGGTGTCAGACGTGTTGTAACCACATGGTTTGGATTTGTACAAATAGGACTAAGAGTCTACAGCCATGCTAGTGGCTCAGTGAGGCTGAAATGCTAATGTCAGCATGCTAACATGCTCAACAAAACAATGCTAACATGCATATTTAGCAGGTAAGGGTTTGTCATGTTCAACATCTTAGTTTAGTAGCTTGCTAAAATTGCCACTAAATACAAAGTACAGCTAAGGCTGATGCGAATGTCATTACGCTTGCAGGTATTTGGTCATAAACCAAAGTATTGGACAAATTCAAATTTTAACTTCCTGATGGCAAAATATGAAAAGGTATAATATGACCAAAGTTATTATAATTTATCCTGAGGGGGACATTAATATCTGTGCCAAATTGCATGGCAATCCATTCAATAGACGTTCTGTAGCAATTACATGTGCTCTAACAAAAAGTACCCTGAGAAAAGTTGGCTCATTTTGCTGGAACAAAATTGTTTCTTTTGGCAGCATTAGCTCAGTGACCTCAGCTAACACAGAACAGAGAAGGAAATAGGACAAAAATCTACTCCCCAATGACTAAGCTTCTCTAAAGTGATCTGGACTCAGTCTCCATCCAAAAGCTCCACAGCAGTTTTAATTCAGCATGAAGTCAAATCAACAGACTGCAATCAATTCAACCCTTTTATATCTAACAAACATAGTGCAAATGAAATGCCTTGATGGGAAACACAAATATAAAATATTGGGCTTTGATTAGTTCAGCCACACACCTTTAGTATTTGGTTGGGTGTGTCCGCCTTGTGGCAGTAGAGGAATCCATTATAGACCACATGACCTGTCCCCTGCCAGTGGAAAGGCAGCTGCACCACCTTAGCTGGTGGAGTGGTAGTCCTCTCTGTGAAACTCTGCAGAGAAACATACTCCAGCAGGGTGTTGTTACGAATTCCACTGAGCAGATAGACCTGAAAGATTTACAGATGTGACCAGTCGAGAAGTGAGTAAAAATAATATTGTGCAATTCAGCATTGTTGTTTTATTCTTGGCTTTAATATAATGATTTTCTTAATCTGTGGTATTTATGCAATCAGCGACTCTTCTTTCAGATTAGATTTCTCTCTTGCTGATAAATGCCATTGTGATATATGCAAAATCTAGAAAGGAGGCATTACTCTTTGATTCTGATGGACTGACACAAAAACCTGATATTGATAAGATCCCCTCCAGACATGTATTCAGACACACACAAATAGTCTGCTTGGATCATAATGTGCGTCTGATGTGCAAAAAGTACAATTTCCATGTTAAAATCCTTAAAAAAAATAAAATTCTAAGTAAGTGTTGCTTTTTTTAACAATATTTTTTGTTAAAATAACTTTTAAAGTTCTACAGAGTACAGTGAAGCTCAAACATCTAAATGTGGGCTGTGGTGGTGGATATGGGCAAAACCACGATGTCAGCAATCATTCCAAACTAAATATAACTGCTAAAGAGTGTATGTAATGTGATCCAGGGTGAAGAACAATTCATTTTTAATGTTATGAGAAAAGGTCAGTGAACGTCCATCGGCAGCCCCATGCTGAGAGGAAGATAAGCACAGTCTGCTGCCCAGAAAGAAACACAGCTGTTTCTCCACTGTAAACACTTCTCTAATTACTGTAATTACATCATCTTTAAAAAGAACAGACCTTAGTTGATCCTTCAGAGGGGTCCTTGAACCAGGAACCAGAGGTATCTCCTGTCCTCTTCACAATCTTGAGAGACTTGATTTGACTCAGGGCAGTGCTGCAGTCTGGAGATGTTGGAGAAAAGGCCACGAATGAATGGATTTTTATTGAATAGTACAGCACAACATTACGTACAGTACAAGCCTGTTTCTGTTTGTCTGGCTTCGATTATTTGCCCCTTAACTTTTAATATCTTTCTCTTTTTCCCTCCACTAATACATAACCCCACTAGACAGATAAATGCAGTAATCATCAGTGCCACCCACCCACACACACACACACTCTGTACACTCTACACACACACTTCCTACCCTTCTCCACTTTGATCTTGGCTTTCTTTTTTTGCAGGTCCTGTTCTGCAGCCTTTATCTGTTGTTCCAGGAGCGCCTCCTCCATCTCGATGTCAGACTGGGTGGGAATCTTGTTCTCAAGATATTCCAACTCTCTCTCCACCCGGTCTACTCGCACAGACACACTGTCCACCAGGCTCTTCACCTCCGATCTGTGGAGCAAAACACTTCAGTTCTGAAGTTCCTTCATTTAGTCACATACTATTTCATTCATCCATTCTTGTTACTATTGTCCATTTAGGGCCAATGTTATTCAGACAGGCCTACCTTACAACGCTGAGAGTGGAAAGATAACCCCTGATTTCAGAGGAGAGGTCATAGGTCTTCTGGGTGACACCCACTGTGTTTTGCTCGCAATGATTCAGACGCTCCTGATATCAGTGAAACAGAGAACATGTGTTGTAGATACAGAGTTAAATCAAGAACATGTGCCTTTTGAAAGAAGAAATACATTCTTCAACATTGGTGAATTCATAAAGAATAAAACACACTCTTGCTCATTTCAGTACGCCTCAGCAGTTTTGCTGCTCAAGCTCTACTTGCTCTACTTGCTATCTTGCATGTCTAGTAGGTTGTAGTGGCTATAACGTAAGCTAATGTTAGCAAATTTAATTAGATATTGCAGTATACATATAGTGAGTCAGTTCAGTAATTATGCTTACCTGATTGTGCAACTGTTAAACTACATTTTAGCATTGTTGTCTTTGGTTGCTGCTCAGCAAGCTAACTCACTTTAAGTCAGGAAAAAAAAAGGAGTTTTCCATTAAACTCAGCTTTTGAAACAGATGGATGGCATGGGCTGGCAGAAAAAATGCCTGGGCAGCCTATCTGGTAGCAAATGCTGTTAAATGTAATATAAGACTAAGTGATAGGCTTAAGTTCAATTTAAAAACATATTTTTCTGAAGATTTTAGAACAATTTATTGATTTCTAATGCCACATTTAGATATTTCTATTGAATGTTTTAATGTTTTGCTTAACAGCAGCATTAACAACCTCTGATGTTTACGCTAGTACCTGAGAGTGCTCTGAAATGAACTACATCATAGTACATTACCTCACTGAGCTTTACAGTATACTGTATCTCTACAGATGACTAACATATTTGTAGATGTTGACTCAGTCAGATACCCACAGGAAGACATTATACAAATCAGTCAGTTGAGATGCTGCCAGAGCTTTGGCATCCATGTAATCTGAGTATGGTGAAAACACAACGTGATATTCTGCTCTATACCTGCTCATTTTAAGGTCTGATATTTCTAACATCATAGCAAGAAAAGCTGAAAATTTTATGCAGTACAAGATAGTAGAATATACTGTATATTTAGGGTCATGTATGAGTAACATTGCAAGCAGTAGTTAACAGGGTTGAGGTTGTAGTGCTCTGAGGGATGCAGGTACCTGATGTCAAACAGAAGTGCGGCAAGCACTTACCTCCATCTGAGCCAATCTCCTTTCCAGGTACTGGATTATAAAGGCATCCTGGGACGAACCCTGACTCTGGACTGAACCCACAGTCAGATAGAGAGATAGGAGAAGGACAGGAAGCACTCTGCCAGACATTTCTAGCACTTCTGTCAACAACTCAGCACGGAAACACTGCTTCTACAGTAACAACTTCACTATGTCTGTGTCTGAAATGCTTTGTCAGTGACAATGAGAGCTTTTCCTGTATTTTTCTACAGGAAGTTCTCTTGCAGAGTACAATCCACTAAAACAGTCCCCCACTCTGAAAATAAGCCAAAGGAAAAAACGAAAAAGATCAATCCATATGGCTTCAGTCATGGACAGTCTCGCTGTGCTGAAAGTAGTCTTTGATGGTCTGTAAACGGCTGAATGATCTTTTTTCCTCCTGCTTTGCTTAGAGTTGTTGCTCCAGAACTTTCTGTCTTGTGTCTCCAATCAGTTGTTGCTCTAGTAGATTTGGATCCAAGTAAACCTCACCCACAGTCCCTCCCATCCCCTCTCTCTCTCCCAGTCTCTCTGGCTGTCTCTCTCCCACCCTTCCCCTCTCTGGAGTTTTGTGTATTTGAAGTACAACAGAGAAAACCAAAAGAAAAGGGAGAGAGACAGTGAGCTGCAGTAGGATCAACCAAGATAGTTCATACCCTATTGGTCAATCCTGCAGTTTTTTATTGTAATACTCTCCAGATGGCCCGCTGACACGTCCTCAGTTCCCACACAGAGCAGAAGCTGTTCAATAAAAGTTGTTATGGGTATACAGTATCAGCACCACGTTACACAGATAAGAATATTCAAATTCAGCTACAAAACACACTACTACACAAGTATTTGGTTATCATGCAAGACACAAAGGGTGTTTCCGCCGGCGGGATTACAGGTTTCATTTTAGACATTGTATTATATAGCCACGAAGCAAATATTACATACTTGCCTTGTAATTAATTTGCTCCAAATTCTAGACTGTGATGTAAAATACATGCTATTATCTAATATCATAACCTCCCAAAGCAGTAGTTATTCTGAATGAGGAGACTGAGGGCTTAACAAGTTAGAATACAAATAGATTCATATACAAAAATCCAAGTTTGAACATCTTTGGCAGTGTGGTTTCTGGTCTTATTACCACCCCCGGTTATCCAGATGATATTCTGACTGATTTAGGTCCAAAAGTTATCACTGCCATTATGGATAATTCCTGGTTTGCTGCTGTTGGTTGGCGACTTTTATCTCCATCTGGTGCTTTTTAGAGCCACCTGGGTCTGTTTCCTGGGCTTTTTTGTTATGACAGACAACATCTGGTTGTCAGCCTTCAACACTGTACCAGATCTGGCACATATTAAACACAGACCTTCACTTGAAGACGCAACTGTATGTGAACAAAACAACGATAACAGAGGATAAGACACTAGCACTCTAAAAAAATCTACATATAACTCGTCTTCTTAGCACCTTCTGTTAAGATCTTTAGTGTTTTATCTTTTGTCAGGCCTCTGCAGTTATACCAGCTTTCTACCATGAGATGGCGCCACATCATATCAAGAATACTACATCATGCCACAGTAGCAGGCCTCATCAAGACACACCCACTACAGCCACCCACTCCCCCCACCACCTCACCTGTGGTCTGTAATCATAGCCTATACTGCTCAATCCTGTGTGGGGTGCAGTGGAAATAATAAGGCAGCTGGAAAGTGAAAAGGAACAGTAACAAAGCTTATGATCAGAAATGCGCTCTACTGCCTTTTTGGCTTGCAGCCCCTTAAAATAAATCAATGTGGTATATATGCATGACTCCAAATCACAGGTTTCATACTGTATGTCGGTGGCAAAGGAAATAAGAAAATTACTGTAACTAGAAACAAGGAGTGTGAATGTTGTCCCACCACTTAAATATGAAGCATTTTAACAACTGGTATGAACAGGAGGAATGATTACAGCGAGCAAAACCCTTTTTCAATGTTCTGATCTGACTATTGTTATAAGACAGACTGAACCTCATTTAAAGGGTTCAGTAAGTAATAATACCACACTTTAAATGTACAAGTAAAAGTACAATCAAAGTTTTACATAAAGCAGCAGCGAGGAACTTTATTTGTGCTGATTCTGGAGTCCTCTGGATTGTCTCCACTGCCTACTTTCACTGAATTCAAGGGGAATCCGACCCTGTGGCAAGCATAAAGAATAACATAGAAATAGCCAGTCTTCTCGCTGATGATCTTGTTTGTCTATATAGGTCTTATGAAGGCATCAGTATTAAATTTAGACTGTTTCATAACCAGTTAAAACCTGCTTGTTGATCTAAGTAAAGGTACTGACAGCTGTCAGTGTTATTTTATTGTACTGTATCATTATTACGGACGCATTAAAAGTGACAGCTCATTTGAACTGCTTCAGATACTACTTGGGAATACATAAATTTATAAACAAATAATAAATTTTTATTTAAAATATTAATCTGAAAACTAACTAGTACTGTAACTAAAGGTATAGGATTTTCTTAGAATGCCAGAATTTTAGCCTTCTCCTGCCAAGTTTGATAACTTGCACAACTGTTGTTGAATAGTTGTATGAAAGATACGATATAAATAAACTGTATTATAATTATTTAATATTATAAATATTATCATATTATAATCACATTCAATCAATTATCATTATATTATTATTATTATTATGTGTTCCATTGTGTTGACCAATAAGAGCACAGAGCACTCTTTCCTACAAACTGTAAGAATGGCGATGCAACACAGGAATTACGCTGTATTTCTTTTCAGAAAACTAAAAAAGTAATTATTTGATTATCACCCACCATACCATCAATTATAAATAAATTAATCACACCTGTGGGAGTGACGGCACCATCTGCACATAATACAGTAGGCCTATGTATGCTTCGCACACACATACACCTTTCTACAAGACATTAAGTAAAACAACAGAACCCGTCAAATGACACTCAATGGTTCCCAGGGCATTTACACACCGAAAGCCTAAAAGATCATATCTAGAGCCAGTGTTTGGTTTGTGCGTATATACATTCACACTGACATTGACAATCCCTGGCATAAAAGACACAAAGCTGTGACTGGTTGGGGCCCGATGTGTAGTCGGTCAAAGCAAGAATATGAATAATAAGAAGAAGACCTACAGTAGTCAAAACATGTTCCCTCTTTTATTGATTTAACCATGACCTAAAAGGGTTTTTAAGGTGGCTCATGTGGTGGAGCATGCACCCCATGTACAAAGGAGTCCTTTCTGTAGTGGCCCAAGTTCGATTCCAGCCATCAGCTGTCACTATCAAATAAAGGCAATAAAAGCCCAAATATGATAGTAATCATTTTAAGATTTCTTTCCTTTTTTGTTCTATTTTGGAGTACCTGGCTTTTACCTTGTTTTAGGTGATCAGATTACTCCTAACCCTTCTGTAATCACAGTGTGAAGTGTGTGTGTGTGTGTGTGTGCTTTATACACACACACACACACACACACACACACACACACACACACACACACATATATATAATGAGA